CCGCGTTCGAGTTGTAATTTCAATTTTTGTTTTAGTTCTTTTGTACGAACTGAACACTTCAGTCAGTTCATAGGTTCCCGTTGTAATACAAAACAAACATTGTGTAACACCAGGGAGGAAAAAATAAATTCCAGTTAATTATTAAAATAACAAATACAGAAACACCCTTCAGATAACAAATTACTCTCTCTCTCTCTCTCTCTCTCTCTCTCTCTCTCTCTCTCTCTCTCTCTCTCTCTCTCTCTTTCTCTCTCTCCGGGTAACTGAGAGATTTCTACCGTTATTTCTTTTCCTTATCTAGTTTAAGGTAGGCCAAATTTGGCAAAAATTCAAAATTGGTGCTATAATTTGGCCATTGTCCAAAAAATCACCCCTATATTGACCACTTTCAATTTAGATCCTATAATTTGTCGATTTCATCAATTTTGGTCCTTTTTTATCCGTACCCTGGATTAAAAAGTGACGTGGCATGAAAAAAGGACCAAAATTGATGAAATCGACAAGTTATAGGACCAAAATTGACGTGCCACGTAGATCATAATCACGCCATGTAACCTTAAAAAAATGACACGTCATGCCACGTCACTTTTTAATCCAGGGTCCGGATAAAAAGGACCAAAATTGATGAAATTGACAAATTATAGGACCTAAATTGAAAGTGGTCAATATAGGGGTGGTTTTTTGGACAGTGGCCAAGTTATAGGACCAATTTTGAAATTTTGCCGGCCAAATTTCATACATTTGTTTGTAATTTTCTGTATTTTAAATTTTTAATATTGTGGATGGGCTTCACCTGGGACAAAAACTGACTACGTAATTTACCGTGCAGGTAGCACGTTGTGCCTGTTCCAGTGGCAAGAGCCAGGATGGACGCTCATTGCTATTGTGTGCCCCAACTTTGGGGATATGATTTGGCACTAGGTGCCTATCCTATTCCATGTTCTATCCTTTCTAATATTTTTGGCATTTTTCATGTGGTTCTGTTCCGTCAAATTTTACATGCAATATAAGTTCTTTTGGGGAATTAATGAATTCGTGCTCATGAGCAAATATTTGTTCAGAGTTTCCGTACATGACCAGAAATGTGCGTAATTAGTTTGCCACTTTGAACGTTATACAGATGTGTTCTTGGCTGAATTTGAGTCTTCTTATGATGTGTTCCTAGCTGAATTTGAGTCGTCTTATGACTTTGATGCCCATATCCCAATGGTATAGGTCCATACAAAAAATTCAAGAGATATTCCAATGGTATAGGTCCCGTTGGAACTATCCAAACGGAACGAAAATATTACATTTGAATGAGTGTTTCATTGAAATTTTAGCTGAAATTTGACGATTTCAACGGTTTGTTAGCGTAGGAATTGCAGTTGAAAATTTTATTTTCACACATATATATTTCAATCGTTGAAAAACTACTTTTGAAATCGTCAAAATTCAACGAAAATTTTAAATGCAAAACTCATTTAAACGGAATATTTTCGTTGGAATTTCCATGGGAAAACCATCGAACAATTCCAACAAAAATAATAGCATTGGAATATTCATATTGGAATATATTTCTGTTCGAATTTTTTCATTCAAATTTCATCATTTTCTTGTAATAATATTTGATCTTGAAAGAAACAATAGTACCTTAAAATATGACACTTTACAGTATAAGCATATATTTTTGATA